TATTGGGATGATTATCAGCCAACCTTATTGATTTTTTCAACTGTTTCATAAGCAGGAATTCTCAACATTTCTTAAGGCCCTGTGCTGGTTTTCTACATTTTCCAGTCACTGTTATTTCTGTGCTATCTATCAAGAAATTTCCAGATTATTTTCTCTTGCCTCCAGCAGCTGTGGAAGCTATTGCTATTTACCCAGTGGACACAAGGTCCAGTCACATGTTGTGCCAGCTGCCTGAAGAAAAAGACTGAAAACTGTGGACAAGAGAGTTGGGAGTAACCAAGGGGCAAACATCCAGCTGCTCTCCAAACATGCTACGCCTGAGCAAAGAATACAGAGCAAATAACTGATTAAAGTAATTTGCCTTTTATTCGACTTTTTTTCATCTATAGACTATTCACAAAAATTTATGGTTTCCTCAAAAAAACCCAAAAATATGCCATTAAATTCCAGACAGCATAAAGGTCAGGAGGTCCCTTCAGTTAGTGTGATGGCAACCTCTCACTCAATATCGCTGCCTCCAGGAGAGGGCATCTCCAAGGGAAAGCATGCCGCTCCTGTGTTGGCTGAATGCTCATTGCCAGCACCACAGAAAGGAAAGCTTTTTCAGCAGAGAGCAGGGTTTATGTGAGGAAGCTACAAGTACAAACATGACAAACATGATATGTTTTATCTGGTAGGTATTTATTGACAGTGAGAAATAAAATCTGTCACTTAAAAAACATACAGGCTTCCTGCAGATAGTACTGCACTTGCTCGAGCACCTACTTGCTATCCAGCCTTGTTTGCATCTGAGAACAGTCAGAGGGGATTGGACTGCCAGGATGGGTGCCTGAACGGGCCTGCAAGGTTCAGCATATGTAAGCAAAGACGTCACTGTCTGACTGCAGTAGACAGCATGCTGAGCTGTGAAAGGAAGGCTTGTAAGAGACTCCATTTATTTAGGAACAGTCTTAGGAGATTACCCAAAGTTATCTCCACGGCACTGTATGCAGGCTGTCTCCACTTCTGTGAACATACACTTTCTCTAATGGCTGCCTTTGATAAAGTTCTGCTGTGGCAGGGGGCCTCTGTGTGCAACGGTGTGTAAGCAAACCGGTCTTGGCACAAACATAAATGCATGTGACAAATGCAATGAGTCACCTCTGCTTAGAAATGTAGCTCATTATGATAGTTATGACAATGTAAAATGGTTATTTTTCATGAAGCAGTTATGTGTACGAGAAGGTGAAGGCACAGGAGGTCTTCTCATTACTTTAAGCTGACTTTACTGCTAATGTGCATTGCTTTGACCTTTAAGATCTTCAGGCTCAATGACAGGCTCAATGCTGTGCATACTGTGTGCTCAGCTGAATAAGGTACAGAAGTTAATTTATCAGAAGAGAAGAAGCATGCCTATTCTTTGTTGTTTTGTTGGGCTTTTTTTGCAATCTAAATCCAATCAGTGCATGCATATGTTTGTGTGGCTTTAAGTAAAATGCATTTACAATGTTAGACACTGTAATCCATCGCTATAAATGCTACTTTGGCAATTGCACTTCAGGAACACTTTTTAATTCTGATGGAAACATGAAGTAGACTTGCCAGTGCTACCTCAGGGGCCTAAGCAAGAGGCCTGTTGTGACTGGTAACGCAGAGCATAGCTCTGCCTAACAAAGAGCCTCCCTCGGGCCCTGATTCAGAGCCCAACAGAGCTGATGCACACAGTCTCATCAGCTGTGGTGGACTTCGCAGCAGAACTTACATTTAGTAGAGCAGGGTTTGAAGTATGTCCTGCCCAAGAATTGACACATTTAGACGTATCCCATAGCAACAGGCAAAATGAACCGTAATGTATCTTATTCGCTCTGTATGTCGCAGGGTCTTATGCTGACAAGGGTGACAGTCTCCCCCTGGCATCTAAGCCGCCCAGCCTCGCACTCGGTCATGGTCCGATGAGCAGTGGAGCTGCTCGCTTCAGCACAGATCTGGATGCCTCCCTCCTCGCACAGTGCGTCCTCGTCACAAACACAGCTGCTGGATTGCACTAAGCAAAAGCACAGAGAAAAAACACTCAGAATGGCATCTGACACAATGGAAACCAGACCAGAATATTTCCAGCAAAGCTGTAGGATTGACAGCAATTTTCCGGAGGGTGCTCAGTACAAGAAAGACATGGACCTGTCAGAGCAGGATCAGAGGAGGGCCACAAAAAAGATCAGAGGGGTGGGAGACCTCTTCTGTGAGGCCAGGCTGAGAGAGTTGGGGTTGTTCAGCCTGGAGAAGTGAAGGGAGACCTTTCAATACTTAAAGGGGGCTTATAAGAAAGATGGGGACAGAATTTTAGTAGTTCAGACTAGATACAAGGAAGAAATTTTTTACAATGAAGGTGGTAAAACATGGCACAGGTTACCCAGAGAGGTGGTAGAGGCCTCATCCCTGGAAATATTCAAGGTCAGGTTGGATGGGGCTCTGAGCAACCTGATCTACTTGAAGATGTCCCTGCTCATTGCAGGGGAATTGGACTAATGACCTTTAATTGTCCCTTTCAACCCAAACCATTATATGATTCTTTTCCCAAGCAGAAGTATCACTACGTGATATTCAGGTTTAGTGGAAGATCTAGATATGGAAACAAGTGGTGCACTGCTGGGGCTTCCTTTGCTCGGAGAGTCTGGTTGTGCCTGTGCGAAAAGCTTGCTCAAGGTGCCTGAGACTTCTCTGGTGTTACTGCTTGAACCAGTTCACGGATCTACTGCTCCACAGTCCAGGTAACATACAAGAGACCTGTCCTTGCACAGTAACAAACTGATCATGCAGACACTTACAGCTGGTATGTGTCTTTGCACACAGGCAGTTTCACTACGATCAAAGGATCTACTATTTCAAATGTGCATAGTTGTATCAGTGACAACAGCTAAATAGACAAGAAGGTCCCATCTGAGATTTATTTGTCATAACTGTATTGTTGTTCTGGTGGTGTACACGTTTATTGGGTTTTTGCTGAAGCTCCAGCCAGTTTTGTTATATTTTTTGTTATTATTTTTGTCTGTTCAACCCTGTTAGACAAAACAGATGAACCCCGATCAAGTAATCTTTTTTATTTTCAAAATATGACAATAACCGTGCTTCTGTTTGTCACACTTCTGAAAACCTAATTTACTTCTTCCCATTTCTGGCATGTCTCCATTAAATCCAATGTAGTGTAGGACACTCAAGGAAATTAGATCAGAGAATTTGAAAACTTCTGCAGACAGATTGCAAAAGACTGGGACTATTTCCTCTGAGGGAAGAGACATTCGCCTTTGATCATAATATGAGAAACGGGATAGGCAGTGAAGTACAAACAAAAGTAAGTGGCTTTCCTAGACAGTATAGAATAAGACATTTCGTTTCTTACTGCAACATACTGCTGGAGAGACTGCTTGGCAAATTTCAGGAAAGGGCTAGCTATTCCTGTGAGCAGTAAGGAGTATCACAGTTACTGTGATAAGGAATTCAAAACAGGTGAATACAAAGAAAAAAGAGTAAGGCAAGGGCATCACCTGGAACTTCCAGAGAACCAACATGGTAACCCTCTTAAGAGGGACTAGGAATAAGCTTTTCTTATAGATAGTGTATTTTATGATGATGTTCTGTGGTGTTTCCTTTTCCATGGCTGGAGCTTCCTGTCATGTTTGGGCATCAAACACTGGGCTGATGGTTTTAACCAGCTTAGCTATGCCTGGTGCTTCTGGGAAGGACAGGAGGTACCATACCAGGACAGACCTACAGCTAATGCATAACTGGAGATAAAGATTGCATTTTGGTCATATGTACAATTTTGCTTAAATTGGGAAGAATCTCTTACCATCACATTTTTCCCATGGACGGCACGATCCACACGATATTTCAGCTGCCTGAGGTATTTTGCAGTTTTCTGCATTAGTAAGAGAGTATTTTCTGCCCATGCATTCCAAGGCATGCATCTTGCAGACAGTTAGAGGTGTGTTTCTCTTTGTTCTTTGATCTGTAGCACAGGTGTCCAGGGAAGGGCTGAAAACAAAAGCAAGGATTGTGCTATTTAAATGTGCTTTATCTTGGTACCTCTTAAAAAGAGCTAAGGAAATGGAAAACGTTCAGAGTCCAGTTCCATTTTTTCCACTCATTGAAGTATACCCTAAGAGAGCAGCAAGGGAACTCAAGACACAGACATGTGAATTATTCAGACTCCTTCCTTTTCCACAGAAATCTGCACCTCAGCAGAGCCAGGATCTGCTCCCTCTGAAGGACAGGGATATTGCCAGGTGTTTGCCATCGACCTCAGTTATTCTGTAATATATTACACATGCATGCCCCTTAAGTACTTACACAGAAAACATTTCATATACACATATATTAAAATATTTTATATTTTTTTAAATTATAAGACATGAGAATATACTTAAAGATGTCTTCTCTGCCGTCCTTAAAAGCCTCAGCTTTTACCAAATAAAATGGTATGATCCAGCATCAGAGACCAAAGATATTTCTGGAGTTACATATACGTATCCACAGAAATTTTATTAAAAATTTGCTCTATTTATCCAGGGAATTTGCTTGTTTGTTTCTTGAAATTTGGATATTGTTCTAACACCCACAAAAATAAGCTTTTAAAAGTCATAATAACAACTCTTGGACAAACTTAAACAGTGTTTGCTTTGGGGACAATTCCAGGATGTTATCATTTGTGTTTCAGGCTCTAAGTGTAGGAGTGGAGGAAAAAGCCTTTCCATTATTTCTGAATTTTAATCTCAAAGTCCATACTTCTCCACTTGTTTTCAGTACAATCAGTAACATCTGTGTGGAATGAATGAAAATGTCTCTCCAGAGCAGGGCACACCTGTGCTTTCCTGGCTGCGCTGTACAGGCACAGGTGAAGTGCTGCACAGGGTACGAGAGGGAAGAGATGCACTCCTCCCAGGGGATGGAGAACTTTGAAATGCAGCTCTGAAGGCTTATTTTCAGCCCAGCTCCTCCTTTTGAGCTCACAGACACTCCCACAGAAACTTTTAGTGTCTAATGGGTCTGTTCTGAGGGTCAACCTCAGCTAAACAGGTGTTTGGTGGGGAGGAGAGGCCAACGAGGAACAGGCAAATGGCCCTAATGAGCTTCATGAGGTTGCCTGAAGGGGAGGGGAACAGTCTGTGTGGAAGTGGAAGTGGCTTGTCAGAATAGGGACAAGGAATTTGGAAGAGGGAAAGTCTAGTAAGAAAGTCCCGCCTCAAAACTTGGTCACTTGCTGGCCAAGTGTTAAGGTAATTTTTCTTTTTTTTCCCCGCTTAGAATTAGGAAGTGGTTTTTGGTAGATTTATAAATAAGGCACTGGGGCAAAGTGTCTCCTTCAAGCTTTGGGAATGGTTCTTTGAGAGATTATTCTGAAGCCTCTTAAAAAAGCTGGATTTACAGAAAGTTTAAACTACCTGTAACACAGTGAACCCTTAAGATATTTAAGATTTGGCACAGAGTTCATCAGCTGAGCTTGAAAACTTCTCTGCATCTACCTGCAACCAAATATATCTTCAAAGACTATTAACTGTATTACATCTCCTACTTAAGTTAGCATCCTCAACTGGAATGCGTCCCTTAACAGCCGTGCTTATTCAAAATACTAGCCTCTAAATCTCTAGTAAAGTTTGTTGCCTCAATTTTCCTTTCCCTCTTTTGTTAACATAAAAAATGAGGTAACCCTCTTATTCTGAGGCACAAGAGGACAGCCTAATGGATACACAGCACCAAGCAGCTGATTGAAGGAAACTTGTGCATTTGTCAGCATTATATTGATTGCTTGGCCAGCTACACAGCCTATGAGTTAGTGGTGCACTGATTTATAATCTGAAAGTTATTTTTACAGACAGAGGTATGAGCAAAGCTTCATCTTTAAATATCATCTTCCATTTCAAAGAACAAAGTGTGATCCAGGGAAAGCATCTAATCTGTAATTAAGTTGTTTATTTTGTTTAAAAATTTTCAGAGGCCTTCTTTATTTGCCTGAGTGATAAATCTCAGTATCTGAGTCTTAAAGTCAAAAACTTGTCTACAAGGCAGCTGAAAAGATGAAGGCCACACATAAGTGCACTTATCTGTCCACTTTGCACCACTTCTGCAGCACCCAAAAGAGAGAAGGGAGGCTGATTTAACCAGCTGCAACAGGTTGAACCCAGAGAGTTCATGGTCCATGTTGCCAATCTCTAGCTACAGTATAATCCCTCAAGCTGTCTTGAGAGTGTTTCACATGTTTGCTATGGCTGTGTCAGCTGGGAGAAAGCCAGCGGAAAGCAACATGTTCGGATGCATAAGAAAAAGGAGAGAGAATCTGTATTCATGAAATATATTAGTAATTTGCACTCATTGCTGAGAAAGGGTATTACAGGGCTGGGAGCATCACAGCAGTGCAATAAAAATTGCTAGAGCCAAGGAAGAACACTTGTGTAAACTGAATATGAGAAATTGAATACCTATTACCTGAAAAACTAGGCTTGGGTAAGAACAAGCTTTTACTAAAGCACATATTGTGAGAAATGAAAGAGCAGATATTAAGTCAGCAAATACCTTCTCTTCCTTTCTCCTACAATGAGACTAAAAAGTGAAAAAATTCAGCGTGTTGAAAATTATTTTAACTTCTTAAAATTATATTCAAGACCATACATTTTAGTATAACACAGGTCAAGAACTCTTAGGAGAGACTAAATAATGCGCAAATAAATGTGTGAGGGAGAGGGGGAAAAGAGGGAATAGTACTTAAAAATTATAAACTCTTCTGTTTCACTGTGGAGATAGTCTTTAGCTACTGGAGGCTGAGGTACACCAGCTGTGCACTACTAATCCCTTGCGTGCACTAGGGCCAATTCACACAGAATAGCTGGTGTCCATACTGTTAAACTCTCTTTGACCCAGAACGATGGGGATTGCATCAGACGGGAATGGTCCCTGACCCTAGTAACTGTGCCTGGGAATTATCCAGAAGTTGGCCTTTGCCAAAACTCTCCCAGGAGCTGCTCTAGCAATTTAGCAGCTTTAGTGCCCAGGGTCATTCCCTGGCTCTAACTGATGAGGATAGATATAGCTTAAGGCACCGTAAAATGAGGGACAGATCACACCTCACCAGCCTGTTATGGGGTTCTCATGCTGTCCCGGGAAGACCTGGTTGCTAGTCCCCTGGAAACTGAAAGGACTTAGGATGGGTCTGGAACCACAGTGTTCCTGAATTCCCACATGAACTGCTGTTCTCAGCTCTCTTCTGAGCAGAAGCTGCTGCTGAAAGTCACTGCCAAAGCATGCCAAGTTACTTCTGATCTTGAGGAAGGACCAAGATCTGATTACATGCCTTACTCCTACACCTTAACAGGCTGGCAGATTAGTCTGCTGTGACGGTTGATTTATCCTTCTATTATTAAATGTGTTATTTCAAGACAGACTGAAAAGATGGCATCAGGTAACAGAAATTACTGTTATCTATCTTCCTGCCATTTTGAATGTAATTTAAAAAAATAGAAACAGGCAAGTAGTTGATTAACTGTAACTGAAGTCTGAATGCATAACTGAATGTAATTCATTTAAGTTCCAAGGTTATTGTGACTCTGCCCAATTCCTTCCCTAGCACTGTGGACTCCTCTCATCTAACTAACCTCAGTACATCCATGAACCAGAGTAGGGGTTGTTACCTTACTTTAATGAGTATTGAGAAAAGAAGAGTAGGACCAGATAATTTAAAATATTTAGGTGTTTAAGGACAGGATTAGAGTCTTAGCAGAACTGTTACAAACCTGGCACTTATCTTCACATGCAAGACAATGGCCTCAGATCCTAGGGAAGTCCCCAGTGGGTCTACAAAACCTGAAATAAGCTCACCAATTTTAATTTAGAGATGTTAAAAGTGTGTTGGTTTTGGCTTAGAACCAGAGTCACTCTGCAGGGCACTCTTGAACTATGTGGCTGATGGAAAGTAGACTTACTCCACTGAGAAATTCTGCTACCTTAGAAAAGCTTCAGATGACTTAAACATTTATTCTGCCTGCTACACACACTAAAGGCAAATCTGGTCTGTTATCCTAGAGTTTCAAACTGCTCAGCTCCTGCTGTGACATAAATCTGGCCACATTTCATATCTAGAGCTCACACTCACTGTGATGACTTTATAGGCAACTTCATCCAGTCTATGAAAACCAGACCAGATGTTGGAGTGCTGAGCTCTTTGGCACATCTGGCCATCAGAGTCAGGTGGTCTCAGGTGTCTTCTTGTTACCCCTCTGTTTTGGTTCTGTTGCCTCTGTGCTTAGCAAAGATCTGAGAGAGTTACTAATTTCCTTACATTTCTCCTGCATTGCTTAATGCAGTAGTCTTAGATCAAACAGGAAACAATAAACTCTGGTCTATGAGTTATGAGGTCAAGAAAGGCGAAATGACTGGTCTGTGCTAACTGCTGTGTAAATGGGAGATGATTATTGTGCCTTTCATAACTCTCTAGTCTCTCAGCAGGAAGAAGAAATCTGCTTTATTTCACTAGCTTACTGTTTTGATGATTTATGTCCCAGGGGCCTCTGTTCTAACTTTTCCTGAAGCTTCTAAATCTTCAAAATATCATTTTATCTTTTTTTCATCTATTTCACAGATCAAGTGGAGCTGAAATTATCCCTTCACCTTCTGTCATCCAACCAAATTCCATCACTGCTAAAACCCACTGACAGCTCTGACAAGGCAGGTAAGCGATGAGCAGGACATTGATTGAGCTGTAAAGCAAACAAAGTACAATGCCTCCTTCTCGTATGAGTAAAGCTTGCTCATCTGTCATGGGCTGAAGACTTAAGAAATCTAATTGGTCTTGAATAAAGTGAGAAAGTTACTCCCAAATTCGGCACGAACTTACCCACACTCATAGGGCATTTTGCACACACATTGCAACTGATGAACTTTCTCCCATGGCTGACATTTCAGCTCTGTCACTTCTGGTTTCACGCTGGGCACTGAAGTAGAAGACAGACAGTGCTATTAAGGGTCAGAAAAACAAGGGCTGTTAAAGGTCTGCTCTGAAATTATCCTATCAGTTGAGCTTAAAAGGCACTGTATTATACAACCATGACATAAAGTCACATCCTGCATGTTCAATAAAAGTGTCTACTGCATGGAAGGAATCAACACTATTAAAAAGGTATGATACACTTTGAAAAGTTACTGTTCAGTAATTTATCCACGGGTCATAACTCAGATGGAAGAAGACAGGTACTATGTTCAAGCTTAAACATTCATCTCATTTCTGCAGCAGCTGTATGTTTCTGCTGACATTTACATCATAGCTGGCAACAGCTTTATCATTAGGTTTCAGAGTTACTGGCTTCACTATTGTCACTAGAAAAGCTAAGGCTCTAAAGTTCTATGTAGAATGTGAACCTGAATATCTTTATGCACTGATGCTAATGAAGATTACAAGTTCCATCCTTAGTCCTCAATGTGCACTAACTTTAAAAATAAAAGCAATAGAGATTCTGGGGGAATTTTCATGATTGCACATGTACTGTTCTTTGAGTGCTGAGTTCTCTTCCAAGATTTAAAATGAAATAGGCCTTTGCTACACATTCCTCTGGAGATGTCTGTAACAAGTAACAGCAAGATATTGCTAAATCCACATGGACACACTTTCTGAGAAAGCTTTATCTTGATTTGTGTTTTAGATTACGTGTCTGTAGTTTTCTACTTTAACATGAAACTTTAATACCCCTCAATATTGCTGCCTTTAAAAAAACCCCAACTTCTCCTTTATGGATTAAGACTTGCTGAGCAAAATAGGAAGAAATCGTTATAGAAGAAAAAAAAAAGAGTTGCAGTGCATTGCAATACAGACAGCAGGCATAACTCTTGTCTTTCTGCAGATGGGAAACTTCCACCAAAAATCACTGCATTGTCTCCATCCCTAGGGCTGTTGTATAGTTGACTGTCAGCAACACTATTGCTTACTAAAGGCTGTCGTTCAAACATATATGTGCCATGGTGTCTGTGTATACATATCTTCTCAACTTTTACGCTTCTTATCTCATATTCCTTGTTTTTTACCTGTTGTTCTAGTTGTTGTTCTAATCTAGTCGTTGTCACTTTTTGGTTTTCCTTTGGTGTTTGTTTGTTTTTAATTTCTGTACTAATGCAATGCTCCCATACAGCCATGCACAAGCTTCTTTAGATGGAAGCATTTGAACTGGTTCTAATTATTACTGGAATTTGAATACACGATGTGACAAGAACTTAAGAAAATCAGTTACTAAGGTTAAGTCTAAGGAGTAATTGGCAAAGGTACTTCAGCACTGGTACTTTAGCGCTTTAGCAGCAGTGAGACGTTTATGTACAGTTATGTTATTCCTTCTGAAATCCTCATGCTTTCTCTGTGTGTGGATATGACACAGAGGCAGATGACTTACACTGGGAATCTCAGAGGAGCGTTATTTCTTATGTCTAAGCCTGACTGTCAGCTGTCTCTTCCCTCAGATCAGGCAACCTCAGGCAGCAGCTGGCTGATAAGGAGGAGAGACATGTAATGCAGGAGACACACCTGGTCTTCTACAGCAGTGGCTGCTGTTCCCAAGTGAGGATGTCCCCAGGAAAATGAGAACATCTAGGTCCTCAGGTGAGGATGTGAGTGGCTTGAAGGAGCAAGCTGCTTAGATGCCTGTATGTCACTGACTGGCATCATAGAAGTGTGCAAGGGAAAGCCTTGTCTGCCTTCCACAGCTGGAAAAGATGACTTAGAAAGAGCTGTTCTATGCTGTAGCCCTCTCTGCCAGCACCTGTCAGTGTCAGCACAGAGCTTAAACAGCTGTTACCATGAACTTGAAGTGGTATTTTCTCCTTGCTTCCAGTTCCTGGAGAATTTACTGCTGTGTGACTGTTGTATGAGCAAAAGGAGTCATCCAGCCCTGTCCTTCTCTGCCATGAGAGGCTGTGATGCACTGAACAGCGTCCAGATAGAAAAGCCATATTTCTAAGGTGCAGCTCACATGGTGGTGGTGTCACACAACATGGGTGGGAAGTGAAGCATACTTGGGTGGCAGAATAGACTCACAGAATATTTTGGGTTGGAAAGGACCTTAAAGATCATCTGGTTCCAACCTCCCTGCCATGGGCAGAGATAACTCTCATTAGACCAGGTTGCCCAAAGCCCTGTCCAACCTGGCCTTGAACCCTTCCAGGGAGGGGGCATCCACAACCTCCCTGGGAAACCTGTGCCAGTGTCTCACCACCTTCACAGTAAAGAATTTCTTCCCAGATGATCTCTTAAAGTATTGTTAGTGAAAATACTTGATAGCAATAAGGGAGTGGGAAGAAAAAAAGCTGGAAGGAAACCTCAGAAGAAATGTCTTAAGGCAGTTGTTTTAACAGCCCACAGAAAACACATGCTCACGTTTTCTGCACCTTCTGCTGGTGGTATAAGTATGGCTGGTCTATCACTGTATCACCTGTAGCTCTGTCTAGATCTTATCTACATCAGCCATATTCTGTCCAGGAAATAAAATCCTGCATTGCATTTGGGGGACTGCAATGGCTTACCTGGTCTCTTGCACTGGATAGTCTTCATGTTAGGAGACCACTTGAGACTGGGCTCGCACAAAACGGACCGTGCCCCTTCTAAGTGCATGCCGTGTGGACACGACAAAGTTATTCTCTCACCAATCTCATACACAGGTTTCCATGGCTCTCCTTGCAAACCTCCCTCCAGAACAGGCAGGAGACAAGCAGTTTCTAAGGATTGAAGCATTTGAGACAGTCACAGTGAGTCAGTAGACTGCAGAAATCAGTCACTTATTTTATCTTCTCTTCAATCCCTTAACAAATTGAATGGTAAGATTAGCTGATTTTCCTGTAGAAACATATTAATCATGTTAGCACAGAATATTAACTCATCACACCAGCTAAACATGTGCAGTATCAAGGACAGAGTGGCAGTATCTTCTCTTACTGCCTGCAGGTCCAGCCCTAGCTTGAAGAGGGTATCTATGTTCTTAGGAGGCATGCTTCACAGAATGGTAGGGGTTGGAATGGACTTCTGAAGATCAGAAGTCCAACCCCCATTGCTTCTGTTGAGGGTTCATACTAGACAGTAACAACCCAGTAAAGAGAGATCATACATAGAGGACCCTCAGAGACCATGTACTGATACACAAAGAGATAGCATTAAAACAGTGTAGACTAGCATCTATGGGCAGTGAGTCCTGTTTGGAAGGAGAAAAGGATGGTGTTGTACTACAGGTCTGAAAATTCCCAAGCCTATCTGATCACAAAGTTGACTCACAAATAAAATGTGAAGGGAAAAAAAGGAAACCTAGTGGTTACCGACTGGGTTAGAGGTAAAGACTGAAGTGGGGACATCATCCAAGATGTAAAATGATCCTTGGAGCTATGTTCTTATGAGAGTTCTTTGAGAACTTTTGTGGTTGCACAGTGCTGCCCACTCGACCTTTTCCTCGGTTTGCTTTAGACATAGACTCATCCACACTGTTCTTGTGTATAGCCACAGGACAGAATTAAGCAACATAGTTTACTTCCACAGGAAGTAATTCCTGGACTGGAATTTGGTCTCCCTCACTTACAGCCTTTCTTAAAACCATACTTTATGGGCATGTTTCTAGTTCAGTATTACAGTATCTAGATTGAAAATAAAAGTAAATTTACGCCTGATTATGTCTAGGAAACTGGTACACGCAGGTGTGTATTTTTCCCCATTGTTGGAAAGCAGATGTTCAGAGATGTTTCACTGGACTTCAGCAACGGAGTTGTATTTCAAAATAAAAATCAGTTAGACATACCTTGGCAGTATCTGTCTCCAAGTCGCCACTGTAAATTACCGTCACACCTAGCAACAGGATCACCAACAAGAGAATATCCATGCCTGCAAGCATAAACAATGCTTTTCCCAACAGGATATGAGTTTTCAGCATTCTGAAAGGAAAAGAAACAGGTGAAATTTTGGATATGCAATCTAAGAACCACCAGCAGTGTTGAATTTCCATTAATTCTGGGGTGCACTAGCTGAGGACAGTGAGAAGCATTAATGTCATTGATAAGAGTGCATGGAATACTGAGGGCAAGTCTATTTATCAATAGTCAGTAAATGGGATCAAAATGGAGATGATGCTGCAGTAAGTTGTTAGAATACAGAATATTTGGGCTATCTTAGGAAAGGGAGGGTTAGAGTTGAAGGTGCCCTGTGACTGGGATCTGGCAGTGGTACATCAGCGGTGGAACCGCACTCTCCTACCAGTGCATAAACTGACTGCAAATATGGCTGTTATCAACATAAGCTCTTGAACAGCCTTCCAGGGGGATCAGTGGAGAGTACATGGCTTTGCTAGTTCTTAGGATGGCATGTTATCAGCTTGCTAAACGTTAGTGAGACATGGTCACTCAGAAGAGCTGGACTTGACACAGGTCTTCTCTCATTTTATATCCCACTCTCTTCTAAGGAGAGATTCTTTTAAAAATCAAGACTACTCCACAAATTGAAGGTTTTTACCTTTAGTTTCTGAACCAAAATATCAATATAGGAGACAACTATTGATTAAAAAAAAAAGTCACTGGCAAAAGAGGCAGCACAAACTTTTGGATTTTGCCCCAGGTTGCAGTTGTGCAGAGAAAACTAATGGATTTTGAACTAATCTTTTTATCTATTTATTGAGCAAAAAGACTTTAGACAGCCTCATAACATAGAGAAGGCATAGTCCATTCCTCCAAGGGAGGAATTTAGTCTCCCTTGTTAAATAGGCCCAAGTTACAGTCAGCTAAATACCTTTCCAGATCACAATTTCATCACAGAACAAGAAAGTGCAGCAGTGAGTTACAGTTACAGTCATGTAGAGTAAAAATTCCTAAAATCTGTTTATAATTTTGCTATGGACTTGCTGGATGACCTCAGATGGTTTACATTCTGTGCTGTTTTTTTCTCTAGTTTCCCATGCTTTAATATTTTATTCATGTGGCACATAATTTTTAAAATATGTTTATAGGGTAAAAGACAAGTAGACTACTCTTATCTATAGGTAACATAGTCCAGAAAAGCAAAGATTTTGTTCTGGGTTTGGCTGTGGGGATGATGATGTTGTTGATGATGATGATGATGAGGATGATGGTGATGATGATGAGGATGATGATGATGATGATGATTATTATTATTATTATTATGGAGTCTTGGTTTATAACATGTAAACTTGAACCAAGGAGAAATGCTGAGAGAGCTACACAGTAGCTCTGATACTAGAGCTTGCCAAGATAAATACAAATTTGCAAGTGAATTTCTGCATTAACTGAAATAGAGACACTGCAGGCAGAGATAGGACAGACAGTAGAGCAATAGATGCAACTTACTTGAACAAATCCATTTTCCAAGAGAGGAGGAGATGAACAGAATTCTGTAGGAGTTATGGATAAATTAAAACAGTGTGGTTCGATCAAGCTATGAAACAAACAGAAGTATGGTATAGTTTGAATTTAGTCTCCCTTCCCTTCAAAATTCTACACTTCTCAGTGAAGCCCATTTTCAAGACTATTATGTGTCTCACTTACACCACAATTATACTTAAGTCAGGCACTGCCAGGCTATCTGAGAGAGTGCTAAATAGAATGGTGTCCAGTTCACTGGCTTTTACCCCATTTTCCAGTCTTACCCTGTATCAGATTCACAGCTTCTGAATTTAATTTTTTTTCAACTTCAAGCTCAGTAAGTGATCTTCTCCTTAAATTCAATAGCTTATGCACCCTTCTGAAACAAATTTTTAAATCTTCCCATAGTCATGTTCCAAATGGTTCTTTTCTGCTTACCGAAAATGCTGCAACTCTTCATCTTCACATGACCTGCTTTCACTCGGCTCTCCTATGCAGGCCTTCCCACCGCCACGTGGGGAGGGGTTGTTGCAGGCCCTACTCCTTGATTTCCTTCCCCCTGAACAAGGACTCCAGGAAGACCAGCAGCTCCAGTGCCCATCAACAACACCTATGTAACATTGTGGAATATTTCACAACCACTTTGCAAATTTATTAAACTTTGAGAGGGGAAAAAACCCCAAACAACATGTTCTGTCCAAACTGTGACTTTACAAAGAATTCCAGATCGCAATGATCTAATCTTACCCAAACTCATATTTTACATAAGTATAATTCCATGGACGCTGTAAGTTAGCTATTTTTATATTCTCTTAGACTCTGGTAACAGATATAAGTAATTAAAAAATTAAAGAGCAAATATGTTTCAAGTTATTGATATTAATTTAGTATGTTTACTTATTTATAGAAGGTTACATTTTGAGTGGTTAGTATTGCTCACTACATTTAACAGTAATAAGAAAAGCAGTTCTTTAAGTACTGTTTGGACATGTTAAGCAAAGACAGGCCCAGCATGGCCCTCCCCATGTCTGCAGCGTTACCTGACCCAAGCAGCCCCTGCACATCAGCCACTCATTCAGGTTGTACAGTGGGACAGACAGATTCTGGGAGCAGGACAGCACACTTGCCACTTCTAAAATCTCACAAGTCTAAAGAGTGCTGACCTGGCTGATCTTGCACAAGAGTTCCCAGCTCACAAGCTGCTCCAAAGGTGTAAGGCTTGCAGTAACACACACACTGAGTTCCTTCCACAGCTGCCTCGCCACCGTTCTGGCAAGGCTGACATTTGCAGGGGTCATTTTCAGCCATATACTCTTCAATGGCTTGTTTTAGGTAATGCTTTTTAACTGAGGAGCAGGGCACTTCCTTTACCAGCTCATATAATGGTGTTAGCTACACAAAGTAGAGAAACATTTATATTAAGTAGTTATAATTGGGATAAGAGACTTTATAAGCACATTTTGTCATGTAAAATAGTTTGTGATGTATGCTCCTGCATATGGGAGTTGAAAGATGCTCTAATTTGCTAGCTAACTAGCTAAAATCTTACACTTCTATTTAATACCAGCTATTTTCTGAAAAGTCAGCTCTGCTTAACAACATCCCTCAAAGCTACTGGTAGCTTAATCATGTTTGAACATAATTGAGCTATGAGATTGTGGTTGAGATAAAAGTGTAACACGGACCACACAGACCATGTATGATAACCTGAATTCTCATTCATCTATTCCCAGTTTAAAAAGCTGGACATTTAAACAACCCATTGTGTTATTTCCTTGACCAGTTATTGAAGATAAACAAAAACTTTTTGCATTTTTATTGCCTATTTTATGATATTCAATTGAAAAGTTCCTGACAGAAATCATTTGAGTTTCTATCATTCTTCAGTATTTGGGCAGTTCCCAAAAGGGACTTAGACAAGGTACCAGTGAATATAGTCATGCCCAACTTTGAAGTGTCTGGCTTCCAGAATCTCCCATTATGCCAAACTTACGCAAGTAGAGAGAAGGGAGAGGGATAAAAGGGATACACAGAAGCTGGCAAGCTGAGTGGAAGCCACACAGACCCGCCAATATATGTTTCAGGAATGGGGCTATCTGAAATCCAGGCTTTCTTCACTGCTAGGATGATCCTCTACTCTTAAGCAGAACTCCAGTAAAGTCAGTGGGAGGCTTGTGAGATTGTAGTTATTGATCTGCCAAAGGACTTAGATTTATGATGCAGCTGATCACATTAGCTTCATGGCATTTTCTTCCTGTGAATTTTTCTTTTCTTTTTTACAAAGTGATCAGTTTTCACAAAATTACTGCAGACTACAGTCTGATTAATCACTAGCTATAGCTTTATCATTTCTCCCCTTAAGTTAATCCCATCTGCTCATCTCTGCTTCAGGAAAATAGCCTTACCTTTTGTTTAATTACTCTGGGATAGTATGTTACTGATCCGGCCCAAAAGGAGTATCTCTGACTGTTCCCAGCAGGATTATTCAGCTCTAGGTAACTAAGGCCAGCAACAGCACCTGGGCTTCCTCCTTCTATGTAGGGGTCTCCTTTAATCTTACTACCACTGCTTCCTGTGGATTCAGGATGGAATATATTGAAAATACCAACATTGCTATATTTACAAATGGAAACAGAAATGACACATGCAAAAACTATGCTAGCAAGCAATGAAAGGATTCATCAGTACAGATCAACCCCTGATGAATGTATCAAGAGCTCCTACATGGATAACATATAAGAAATACCTGGTTTTGCAGGTGTCTTGGCAGCCCTGACTTAAGGTGTCCAGAAAGTCACCAGGAAAGCATTAGCAGTGATTGATGGGTGTTGGAGAGACTTTTAAACTAGGCATTTGGTGTCTGAGTTAAACACATTAACATAAAGTTCAACAGAGCTATCAACACCTGCTTCTCGTTTTGACAGCTATTTAGAAGTAGATGAAAGATTGAGATGTGACAAGGGTATGAGTGACTGTTGAACATTTACCTGAAGAAGATTGCAGCAGTTCATCCAGTTTGGAGCACTTCACTTTCTTCTTTTTCACAATGAATGCATTCCAGCCTGATGTGGTGCACTCATACATGTCTGTTATGCTCATACCTGCAGATAATCAATCCATTAACAATGCTTTATACAGACAGTGTGTTGGTGGATTAATTTCCAAATTTCCCATTGACTTGAGATGTGTTTTAGAAAGAAAAGAACCATGAAGTATGGCTAAATTAGAAGGCAACTACCTAGCACATCCCATGGGAAGATCCATGTATTGCTGAAGTCTATGGACGGAGCCTGAGGGATGGGAGGTGTATCCAGAAAAAGTTTATTGTTTCTTTCATCTCTTTTCTCAGCAGTCCCTAATTCTACAGCACTGCTCCCCACTGAGTATGTCATACATGTTGCTCCGGTGTTTGCTTTGTCATTTATTCTGCTTTACAAAACTTTACCCAGCCTTCATCTCCCAGTAACTTTTAACCTTTAACATTATTTCAGGTTTATATTGGCAGTATAATTCAATTTTAGCCTGATGAGGTCCTGAACCAACTGTCTTTGCAACCCAGAGCACTGCAGATCACTGATGTGGATCTAGAACTAAATGTCGTGGTTTGAGCACTTTTTCTAATCTCCTTTATTTTGCTCATGGAGAGAATGTGTTGACTAGTAAAAGCCTCTTATTTGATTTTAGATATTAGCAGGGAGAACGTGCAAAGGAATTTTTCTTCGTTTATACACTTTGCTTCTTGTAACAAATACTCTGGTACTCTACCTTCTGCTTTCATTTTGTCAGTATCCATGTAGAAAATAACTTTGTAATGTCCTCCTAGAGATCCAGAGTGTAAGAAGTGAGTCCCAAAATGTTCAATGAGTCTTCGGTAGATGCTGTACTCATAGACGACTGGCAGGTTGGCCAGCTCCCTCCAGAAAGGCTCTGCAAGACTGAGGAAGTCTGGGCGGTTGTTAATAAACTGAGCAACTTCCACACTGTTCTCAACAACCATCAGCTGCTTACTCTGGGGGACGGAGAAGAAGTCAGTCATATTCCAAGTCACTTTTGAGGTTATTCCTACCAGTCAGATGAAATACGCATTATATAGGCTACTAACCAACAGATTCACAGAGCTGTTAGATACATCTAAGCAACTCAATGAACGCAAAAAAGAATATCCTGAAGTCAGGAAATATCTTTTGGACTTTTATTTATAATTGTTGAATCATCTTTCTTTTCCTCCTCTGTACCTGAAAGCTAGCATAAGGACAAATTAGAAAGGAAAATATCACTCTTCAAAGTTAATGGTGATTTCCAGCACCAGATGCCTGGCAGTAGCAGGTTAACAAGCCTTGTCTGAAAGCAAATCAGAGGCACTAGAGAGGTCTTCTTTGCACTCTGTTTTGTCTAGAGGAGCTTTTCTTTGTTAGGGGCTTTAGCCATTCTGAGGATGCTGCTGAATTATAAAATCCTATCTGCTTATACAATATTGTTCACCTCAACCTCTCAAAGTTCCTTTTGAACTCTGTTATGCTAAGTGTCAAAATATGTCATTGTTAGTCTGGTAAAATAAGTTTGTCTTCTGTCAGCTTGGGGGCCATAACTGTATAAAATAATATGCATAAATTTGTTACTTGATTTTATTTGTTATAAAATAGAGGTTATTCTTCATAATTGAGAGTTACTCTTAAATCATGTATCTTTCTCCTTTTTAAATAAGTCAAAGGCATAAGCACTGTGACCTCCTGGCTGTTTAAGACAACAGATCTCTCTCTTAATGGAATTCTACTAATGGAAAATGTGTTATAAAATAAATTAACTTTAATCATAGAAATATTTAATTTTTTTCACTCCAAGATACTGACAGAGGTAATAGGGGAAAAAAAGTGCAGTAAATTCTTAGAAGAAAATGGAAAAGATTAACTAATTATGAGAAGCTGCCAATGTTTGGGTTTTTTTTTCCTCAAATAGGGAGGAAAACAGATAATATATAAATAAATAGCTACTAAAGAGGTAAAATGGAGAAAGTAAAAACAGCAGCCAACTGTTCTTACTTGATAACCAAACCAATGATCTTTGTAAAGGTTTTAAGGGATTTTTTCTGTCATGCACTTTGTGCCAAAAATATCTGAATAAATTATTTGCATCTCACTATAAAAGCCATGAAAAGAATGATGAAAATATTTATACAAAATACTAAGCCATAGTGACAACTTATACATACCTTTTGACTGTGTTGTAGAATTTTATTCTGTGTATAACTGTGTCCACTGTTTGATTTTTCATACCTCTCTGTGTACTTCATATAAGACCAGCTGCTGTTGAAAAACTCATAACTGAAATCATTCTGAATTTTAACCTAGAAGAGGAAAGATAGAATTCTGTATAAAGAGCTTCATGAAAAATTTTTTAAATGATAGAGAGTAAAGCAAGTCCTTCCTGATGCAAAAAAAATGTAAAAAATACTGAACACTACCAAAAAGACATTATATATAGATTTTTTT